GTCCAAATATCGACTTTAATGCACACAATGAATGGGAATTCTAAATCTACAAATGTAAAGAACTGAAATTCGTGAAGCAACTTTTTAGCGTGTGAACTGTGAACTAACCTAGCACTTCAATGATCTGATGTCTCTTTAACGACTTCAAGATTCACTGAGGAATGGGTTGAAACTTACACTGCTTGGGATGAATTTCTGGTGGATTTCTCGTAGCTTATGCATATTTCCAAGCTACGTCTATTCACTGGTCGAGGCGGCGACTTACATTCACCACATTGACTTTTTGTGATTTCTTTTGGAGGAACTTTTTGAGTCACATTTGAAATGAATTTGGAAAAATTGTGATTTAGGATTTTTGAAGGCGGCCCTCCCTGATCATAGTTTCGTAAGCAGTGATTTTTTATACCTTCCACTTTTGTGGAAAACAATACTCGCCCTCGATGGCAAATCCGGCATTTGTTTGGGCTGGAAACTGAAGAAGTATGACATAGATTCAGGTTCTGTTTTTGCTCCGAATCCAGTGAGCTACTGTATTGAGTTGACAAGGGCACCGGAGGTGAGTGTGAAATGTGAGCTAAGTCATGCCGATAGCTACGGAGTGCCAATTTTGTACCTGATAGCATCGATTTACAAAGTGGATGCGTGTTCACTGGTGGTTGAGAGTATCGTGTTTTTCAGTGATGGCAATTATTCTGCTACATTTCTAAAGGGAATCTTAGTGAAAGGTTCCACGTTCCGGTGCTGTACATGGTATGCCTGCAGGCAGCTCGGTTAGTAGGTATGTTTGCTGGGTATCGACTTGCCGTTTATGCATATATGTGCCAAATTATGCCCTTTCACAAGCTCCAGGTGGTTGTGCGGAGTTTCCGGATTTGGGTCACTGTACGCGGTAGATGTATCTTAAATCTGGATCGTGACTCGTCTGAAGTACTGCTGGCAGCCCACTGATACGCTTTGCATGTCGATGAATGCAGTGACAAACGCGTGGAGCATTTGGAACATACGTAGTATGTGGAGGGATTTAGTGTGACTTCTGGCGGAGAGCAAATTGTTGGAGGAAAAGATATTATGAGATGTATGCAACGACTGTTATATCAAGAGAAAGATGGTGCGTTACGAAACATTTTTCACTACTATTCACTCCAAATCCTGCAAGGTCACCGATGGCGGGAAGGTCATTGGAGACATTATCTGATGGTGGCTTGATCCTTTGAGGTCAACCAACGCTAAGAAAAAGAACTCACTCAAAGGAGTCTAGAAGGATGGAAAATCATTGGCGACGCGCACTGGGGGGCCCCGTGCGATCATGCGTTTTTGCAGTGTTTCGTGCTTAGATAAGATTACTCGAAATTCCGCTAGCTAAAAACCTCTTATACATACTGGTCCTCGAATTTCGGGAACTTGATTATCCACGCTATAGTTGGACAGGGAACATTCTCTTGAAATCCCAGCTTTCTTAGTTCCCGAGTTACCGAAATTGCAGCTAGAAAATTTCACGGGGCCGCGTGTAGCCACCACGCATAACGGGGTGCTGAATTTGATAAATTCAAGTTGTAGATGAGTTGAGAACATTCCCTGAAAGTTTCAGCCTCCCAACTTTCCTGGTTCTGGAGGTATTCATTTTCCCGCCAAAAATTTTCACAGGGCCGTACGTGGCGGCCACGCACATTGTGGGGCTGAATTTGATAAATTGAAGTTGTAGATGAGTTGGGAACATTTCCTGAAACTTTCAGCCTTCCAGCTTTCTTGGTTCCCGAGCTAGCGATTTTCGCGCCAGGAACCCTTAGAGGGCCGTACGCGGGAACCACGAACCCCCGGGGGCAGGATTTGAAATCTTTGAGTTCTACCTGGACTGGAAATATAATCCCAAAATTTCAGCTTTTTAGCTTTTCTGGTTCTCGAGTTAGCCATTTTCCCGCCGAAACTTTGGCGCGCTCATACGCGGGGCCTAGATGTGCTTGAGGGTTGGTACCGCGGTCCTGGGGTAACACTTGGCCGGGGAACCCACTCACAAAAATTTGGGGCCGGAGCTTGCTTGGGTGCCGAATTGAAA